CTGAGATTCCACCTCACCCCAGAAAGAATGGCTGCTATCAAGAAATCAACCAATAACAAATGCTGGCGGAGGGGAGGAACCCTCCTCCATTGTTGGTGGGAGTGTAGACTGGTGCAACCACTGTGGAAATCAGTGTGGAGATTTCTCAATAAACTAAAGTTCCATTCGACCCAGCTATTCCCCTTCCTTGTATCTTCCTGAAACAATTAAAAGCATCATACCACAGCAACATATGCACACTCATATTTATAGCGGCATAGTTTGAAATAGCTAAATCTTGGAAACTGCCCAAATGCCCATCAACTGACAAATGAATAAAGATGTATTTTTTAATGCAATGGAGTACTACTCTGTCATAAAGAAGAACAAACTTTCTAACTAAATGGAAGGACCTTGAGACCATACTCTTTTTTTTTGGTACCAGGGATTGAATTTGGGACCTTGCGCTTGTGAGGCAGGCACCAGAACCACTGAGCTAAATCCCTGGCCCTTGAGACCACACTCTTAAGTGAAATAAATAGGACACACATGTTTAAATACCGCATTGTTTTTCTGGTGTGAGAAACCAAAAGTGTAAATACAGACCAAAATGTATAACAGAGACTGGGAAATGGGAAGAAAATGTTCAGATGAGAAGGGGAACAACGGAGGGAGGAGGGGGAGAAGGGACAACAACAAAGAGAGTAGAAGGTAAAAATGGAAACAAAGCTTTTGTAAATAAGGAGAGGAAGAAGGGCTGGATGGGAAAAAAAGAAGCAAGATATATCAGGTACAGGTACAAAAGGCCTATCATGAATGCTATCATTATGTATATCTAAAATGTACCAATAAAGGTTTTGCTTCAAAAAAAATCTGCAGGGCCGGGGATTTAGCTCAGTGGTTCTGGCACCTGCCTCGCAAGCACAAGGTCCTGAGTTCGATCCCAGGTACAAAAAAAAAATCTGCAAACTTCCCCTTCACTTAATCCTTTAGCCTAAACTACCTGTTCTTAAGGTCTCTACCCATAACCCTAACCTCCAGCACAGGTCAGGGAAAGATCACATGGGGGAAGAAATCCAAGTTAGGATGAAAGACAAGGTAAGTAGCCAAGCAGATTCCTGGAGCCTTCATGGGACAAAGATCTCAATAAAAGGAGCTTCAGACAAGAGATCCATGAGCATCGAATTCTCCCTACTCGTCCAGAGTAGCTTTCTGTCATCTTTTCATCCTTACCCATCTTCAAATAAATTGTCTTCTCTTATTTTAAACTGCTTCTTTAGTTCTGTACTGTCGCTGGGTTTAGGGCATCGCTGAGTGTGCCAGCAGAGTGGCTTGCTGTGCATGCCTGGACGTTACAGTGTGGCCTAGCGCGGCATGGTGTGCACTCCTTCCGGATGTACACTCCTGCAGGTGAGCTGCCGCCTTCCATCTGTAAGCGACCCCTCTGCCCACAGACTCTCAGCTCTGCAGATTTCCACTCCTGAGTCCCACAGACACAGCCGCCCCAAGCTGCTGCTGTCTCCTGCCCTCTCCTCAGGCCATGCTGTCTCTTTGAGCGTACTCGAATTCTGCCTGATGATCCTCTTCACACCTCTTCAGGCACATCCTGGCCTCTCTTTGGTGATGGGAGTCAGCAATCCTGCAACCTGCCCATGGTGGGGTGAGTCCAGGGTCCCCTCTTGCTGTGGGGGCCTTTAGGGACCCTGTCTGGGACTTCCCTCCAAAGCTGAGGAGCCTTGACATCACCATCACCTGAACCCTGCTCTCTAGCTCAGTCGCTCTACCTTCTTGGAGAGCCCTGGGGCAGCGGGGAACCCCTGCCTGAGCCCTCCAAGGCTGAGGCCAGAGTGGGTGTCACTATGCTGCAGTCATGTGTCACAGCCCCGTTAGGAGCAGACTCCAGGGCAGCAGATGCTTTCCTGGCCTTGTTATCCTCACTGCTGTTTCCCCAGCCATGACACAGAGCCTGACAAGCAACTGATGCTCAATAAATAGTTTCCAAATAAATCGAATACAAAGACTCTTGCAGAGACCTAAAGCCTAATTATACTTCTAAGCTTGGCAAATGTGAGTAAAACTTGTCATTTGTGATGAAAACCAATGTAACCTGTGGAAAATGTTTTGAAAGGGGAATTTTGCCTCCCTAGTTCAAGCAAGACTTACTATGGGAAATTCCCTACTTTAAATTTTCTTTGTTCAAAAGGTCCAGGCCTGTCCCACCTCACATGCCTGGACATGCCCGAGCCAACTTCCACGTCTCAGGGATGTCTTCGTCTCTAAAGTAGTTTTGTCTTTCTGCCCAGATACAGATGAGGTATTAAGCCCCATGTTTTGAATTACCCAATGAACCTGCTGCCAGTATTACATGTGAGCCAATGCCATGTTTGATTCTGCCTGTTAATGCATAACCAAATTCTGTAACCAATGAACGTACACGAGAGTACCTCCCTTGTAAGGCCCCCTCCCCAAGTGTGTACCTACTTTGTTCAAGCGTTGGACAGGGCCAGTCTCCCGCGTGTGAACGCAGGCGGGCCCGCTGGCGGAAATAAAGCTTTTCTTTGTCTCTGAGGCTCCTGGTGTGCCTTCCACCCTCTCGGACTAGCGGTAAGGAACTTTATCAACGAAACTGAAACCTCGCCTTTCCAATCTGACACAGGAAGGTGACCGTGGGAGGGGAGGGGCTGCTGTGAATGCCGAGGGTCTCCAGGGCTGAGAGCCGCAGGCACAGAGGACCCGGGATCTGTGTGCCAGGCCTGAGGTCAGGGACCTGGAGGTCCTGGCAATGCCCAGGCTCCCTGGCAGCAGACTAACTTACCTCAGGCAGGGTGAGAAGGTCGAGGGGGAGATCATTTCACCCACATGCTCCAACCATTCCTGCCTCTGGACCTCAATACTTACTCTGGGGCAAGAGTAGGCTTTGTTGCTGGTGGGGGCTGCAGGTAATTGTGTTCTTTTGAAACTGGTAGCAGAGGAGTTAGCCCGAAAGTGAAAAATATGTAACTAAAAAGAGAACACGAAATTAAAAAGCCATTTCCACACTCCCTACCAAGAGCACCCCCAAGGGGACCCCGAATTGAAGTCTATGTTGGACAACTGGGCCTTGGAGGTCCGAGGCTTTAAGACCTCAGGCCGGGGCACTGGCTCTCATCCCACAGGAGCGGACGGCGGCCACAGCAGCACTTTGTTGGAAGCTCTGCGGGCTGAGAATCCCTCGTTTAAACACGAGCTCGGCAGGAGAGCCAGGCTGGGACAGCCCAGGCGGGCGGGGAAGGTTCACGAGCACCACCCACCTTGCTCTCGAGAGACGGAGAAGGCAACCGGTGAGGCCCAGGCCCGCGGGCTCTGGTCCCGCCCAGCCGGGCCCAGGTCCTTACTTGGCCCTCCTCCAGGAGGCCTTGCTCAGTGGCTGAGGGGTTTTGATAAGCTTCCTCGGCCCCAGGCCCCGGGGGTCCCAGCAGGTGCAGTAGACAAGAGGGTTGTGGTACATGGCCAGGTCGGGCACGACTTGGCTCTCACTGAAACAGGAAAACAGCAGCAGAGAGTTACGGCTCACCTAGAACCAAGGCAAGAATGTTCAGCAAGAAGCTGGGGAGGGCCAAGGCAAGGCCCCAGGACCAGTGGCAGCTGTGGACCTGGGGTAGGGCCTTGGCGACAGAAGAAAACCCCACTCATTGATACCCAGCAGACTGCACTTGGAACTGTTGTGCCCAGATTGTGAGGTCCCAAAGACCACCAGGAGGCCGTTTCCGATGTAAGCGCACGAGGGTCATTTATTCAAGCTTAAGCAGGAACTCTCAATTGTCACCAACACAGCGGATCGAGATTGAGAGCCC